AATCACACAATCTTGCAATCTTGCAGGCATGCGTCTTGTTCTTTGAGGTCTGCTTGTACTGGGTATATCTGCTGGCTCCTCTTGTCGAACTTCTCTTTCGACTTGAGTTTCTGGATCTTCGAATAAGATTCCCACTGAATCTTTCTTGACATTTGCAGTCCAATCCCATTCTTTGAACTCATCTATGATCACGTCCCTGCTGATCACAATCTTCTTGTTCTCTGGATCGAACAACTTGTAGCCTCCTGTCGAATGATATCCAACTAGGATCATTTGACTTGACTTGTCATCAAGTTTCTTTCTCAACTGATCTGGCACATGTCTATGTGCAATAGATCCAAATACCTTCAGATGACTCAAGCTAGGTTTCACACCAGACCAACATTCTTCTGGAGTAATTCCTTCTAGCTTCTTTGTAGGACTTCTGTTCAAAATGTATGTTGCAGTCGAAACAGCTTCACCCCAGAACTCTTTGGGTAAATTCTTGCCTTTCAACATACTTCTCACCATATTCATGATGGTTCGATTTTTCCTTTCTGTAATTCCATTTTGCTGTGGAGTATAGGGTGGCACCACCTCATGCACAATCCCTTCCTTTTCACATAACCTGTCGAAGTCTTTCGACACATATTCTCCTCCACCATCAGTTCTCAAAACTTTGAGCTTTCGACCACTTTGTCTTTCGACCATGGACTTAAACTTGGTGAATACTTCAATCACTTCACTTTTCTTCTTGATCAAGTAAGTCCATAGCTTTCGACTGAAATCATCTATGAATGTAACAAAGTATTTGTTACCTCCCATTGAATCCACCTGGATTGGTCCACATACATCAGAGTATATGACTTTGAGACTAGCCTTCGATCTGCTTCCTGCATCCTTGCTGAAGCTATTCTTGTGTTGCTTCGCCTGGACACATTCTTCACATACTTCATTTGGAATGTCAATTTCAGGCAATCCTGAAACCATATTTCTTCTTTTCAAATCTCTGATGTCTCTGAAGTTGAGATGACCTACTCTATAATGCCATATCCATTCATCTCTGCTAGCTGCAGTCGAAAGGCACTTGTGCTCCATCACATTTAGTTCAATCTTGAAGGTTCGATTCTGAGACATAAGAGCCTTCAAGATTACTCTCCCATTTTCATCAACAACTCTCATCAACTTATCTTCGATTGACACTTTATAATTCTTTTCGACCAACTGCCCTATACTGAGCAAATTGCTCTTCATGCCTGGTATGTACAATACATTCGAAATTACTGACTTCTTGCCATCTTTCCTCATGATCATAACATCACTAATACCTTCAGCTGCTAGGGTGTTGTCATTTGCAAATTTTACCAAATTTTTCGTTGAGGGTTTTATATTGACGAACCAGTCTTTCCTTCCAGACATATGTGATGAACATCCTGAATCCAAGTACCATTGGTCCTTGAATCTATCTTCATCTCTTATTGTGACCATTAGCATCATCTCTTCTTATTCTTCATGTTTTGCAAGCTTTGCATCACTTTCTTGATTCTTTCGTTTTTCTGGACAATCACTTGAATAGTGACCATACTTCTGACAATTGTAACATTGAATGTGACTCTTATCAGGTTTTCGACCACCACCTCTTCCTCTGTTTGCAGCACCACCTCTTTGGTTTCCTTGGTGTGGTCTTCTTTGATTCGACACGTCTCCTTCGATTTGGTTTCCTCTACCATTCAATTTGTTGTAGCCACCTCTACTTCTATCGAAATACTTTCCTTTGCTTTTTGTTTCTTTTGTTGAATGTGCCTGCAAGGCTACATCACTCTTCGATTTTCCTGCAGCTCTTTCGTTCATTCTTTGTTCATGAGATTTGAGCGTCACTTGAAGCTCTTCCTTTGTCAATTTCGACAAGTCTTTCCCCTCTTCGATCGCCACCACTATGTGGTCGAACTTAGGAGCTAAAGATCTCAAGATCTTCGAAACAACAACTCTTGTTGTTAATGTTTCTCCATATATCTTGATTTGATTTACTAGTTTTGTAACTCTAGTGAAGAAATCAGATATGTTTTCACTGTCTTCCATCTGAAGCAGTTCATAGATCCTTTTGTGAGTTTGTAACCTCACTTCTTTCACCTTCTCAGCGCCTCCAAAAGACTTCTCAAGGATCTCCCAAGCTTCTTTTGCAGATTCTGAATCACTAATCTTTTCGAAATTGTCTGGGCTGACACATTGATGAATTATAAACAATGCTTTATAACTCTGTTTCTCAGATTCTATATATTTCTTCTTTTCTTCTTCTGAAGCATTTTCGCCAAGCGCTTCGACTCCATCTTTTACAATGTCCCAAAGACCTTGACACATTAATAGGACTTTCATCTGCTTGCACCAATTCTCATAGTTGTCAACTTTCAGAGTTGGCAGCGTTGCTGGATAGTTTGCATTCCCATAACTTGTCATCGTGAATTCTTCAATCGTTCTTGATTGATACTTCCCTTGAATCGAAACACAAGCTCTTGATACCAGATGTTGGAAATCCACCAATACTCTATGATGAATTTCGACCACCACTGATGATTAGTTATGAAACAAACAAATAAAAAACAATATAGATATTTCTGCAGAGTTTCTCTCTGCCCACAAACTGTGGAAACTTTATTATTCACTTTGCAACTGCAAAATACTGTGAATGACTTGATTACAAAAATAGGGGTTACTCCCTCTATTTATAGATTTAGGTTAGCTTGCTCCCTAAGCTAAAACCCAAGCCCAAAATATCTTTTTACTAAATCAAATCTAATCAAATCTATTCTAGATTTAAATTCAAATCTATTTAAATCTAAACAAATCAAATCTTCTTTTGACACATATGAATTACAATTTAACAATGATCACTAAATTAATCCTAGGTTTGGGAGCAAGTTTCCAAACATTATTTATCTTTAATTGATTTAACTATTCATGCATAGCAAGAGATTAATATTCATCAATGAAAACTTCATTGACAACCTTTGGCTCAATTTGAAGAAAAAAATTACATAATATTACATACATGTTTTAGAGAGTGTCGAATAGTTACTCCTTTTGATATATATATATATATATATATATATATATATATATATATATATATATATATATATATATATATATATATATATATATATATATATATATATATATATATATATATATATATATATATATATATATATATATATATATATATAAATTTTGAATAGGACGATCTTTTGTCATTTTCCACTTTTAGGTAGATATTTATGAGTTTCTTCATATATATCTTTGTTTTTATTTGTATCTTTGTCTTCACTTGTTTATTTCTCTTTGTATTCATTTGTATCTATGTATTTCTCTTCATTTGTATTTTTGTCTTCTAAGAAAATTTTCTCTAGAATAGCGACACAATCAAAGACTTATTTCTACCTCTACTACATACTTAGGATTAGTTTGATCAAAGGTAACATGTACACTTTTTTCTTAGTGATGATTCGTGTTTTATAAATACAAAAAACTTTATTATAAGTGGAATATCCAAAAAAAAAAAAGACCTTCATCAACTTTAGTATAAAATTTTTTAAGGTTATTCTTGCCGTTATTGAAGACAAAAAAATTGCATTCAAAAATATGAATGTGAGAAATATTTAGCTTCTTTCCTATAAATATTTTATAGGGCATAGTTTTCTAAATTGATCTTATAAGGTTCTATTCACTACATATCAAACAATACGTCAGCCTAAAATTATTTAAAAATATTAGTTTTATTGAGCATCGTCAAGGTTAGTTTTATTGAGCATCATCCCTATTAGCACTTCAAGAGACTCATTTTTTCTTTCTATTATCTTGTTTTGCAATGGAGTTTGTGGAGTAAAAATATATAATCTATTCAATTCTGAATACAAATATTTTGAATTCCACATTTTAAAATTCACCTTCATGATAGCTTCAGATAAATGCAATATTTAGACCTTTTATTTTGGATAACCTTGAATAATTTTTAAAAGGTAATAAAATTGTATTTTTAATGAGAAAGAAAAAACATTCATATTTAAAGAGAATATTCATCCACTATTACTTAGGCATATTAATTACCATAAAAACTCATGGTTCTGAATGAGGAAAACATGTCCTTATGTAACACTTGTAAAGGCGTATTAGTGGAAATATTACTTTTGAATTTAAAAGAAGCTTTTACTTGTTTTTCATGTTGACACACATCACACACTGATTTGTTTTTCAAAACTTAAGTTTGATAGACCAATTGTTAATTCCTTACCAACTAATATATTTAAATGTTCCATTTTGAATTTAAGTGATTTGTCGATGTCATAACCATGATTCTTCCTCATTACTTATTAGATAACATGCATCATTTGAAGGTAAATTATTAAAATTAACAGTATAAGTATTTTGATTTCTTTGACTATTAAAAATAGTTTGTTTGTTTTCAGATTTTATGATCATGCATATAAATAAATTGAAATTATTTCATTACCTTTATCATATAATTGACTAATTATAAGTAAATCATGTTTTAAACTGTCAACTAATAAAACATCCTTAATCGAAGGATTGAGATCAATGTAATTAAAATTGGACCCGACCAGCCGATTTAACCGGTTAGATCAGAAATCAGATTAACATTCAGCTCAAAAAAGAACAAAAACTGCTTTAACAAAAAAATTGGTATACAAATCGGAAAACCAAAATAAAACTGATGAAAACCGGCAAAGTCGGGGGTTTTGTGGTTTAAAGAGGTAGATCACAATTTTTTTTGTTTCAACCTGTAGGTGATTGCAGTAATATTGTGTTGTAGTTGCATTAACATTGTTTCAAATAGAATGCATGAGAAGAAGAGAACACAATCTAATTTTTTATTTATTCAGATTGCTTTTTAATGTATAAATTAAAAGGATTAGAAGTTGGTGTGAGCGGCACTGCAAACAAAACTAGGGTTTTGGGATTTAGGGAATGGTTTAAAAATATGAGGCTATTTATTCTTTAGTTGTTTAAGTTTTAGGTAATTTTCTTGTACACCTTTTAAGGGGGAAAAAATTCCTGAAAACCCGAAAATATCCTTCAGAGACGTATCTCCGAAGGCATTCTAAATCAAAGTGTTTCAGAGATACATCTCTTAATGCACCTAAAATAAATTTTGGAAAGAATTCAGAAATACACTTCCAAAAATACCCTATTTCAAGCCAAATGTTAAATTTAAACATTAAAGCATATTTTTGGACATGTATTTCCAAAATCAGTGGCGGAGCCAGAAAAATTATGAAGTCTGGGCAACTTTTCATTGGCTTCATAATTTTCTACCAAGATAGTACAATGCTAATCCCAAAGGAATTATTTCCTTGAATTACAATTGCCTCTTCAATTTGTCCAGAGAAGGTTGCTAAAGAGGATAAGAACGACAATAAGCTAAGACGACTTACGTTATCTTCATCAATTTCCTTGATTATTTCGTCCAACCCAACATCTTTTATGCCAAACTCATCACACGCTTGTTGAAGTTCTTCTTGAGTAATATAGCCACTTCCATCTTTATCAAAGTAAGAAAAAGTTGCAAATAGATGATCTTCTCTTTCAACTTTGTTAAGATGCAATGTTGCCGCAATGAACTCACCGTAATCAATCGTTCAACTGTTATCTATATCAGCCTACAATTTCAATGTATAGATATATCAGTTAGCCTGTTAAATAGAATAGAATACATTAATTTATAACTATGAATCTAAGATGATGCAACAGTTCTAAGATACATAACATAACCCTTTTTATAGATTCTCAAGCTTGTCGAAATATATCAAATTCAATCGTGTATATAAGAAATAATATATTCGTTCGAAGATCACTGGCCTCATCATCCAGCTAATACTATTTGTTGCGTTCTTCTTCAAAAGAAACTTACCGCTTGCATTAAATCATAAATTTCAGACTCCTTAAGATTTGCACCAACTTTTTTCAAACCGACTTTAAGTTCTTCAAAAGTAATTTGACCGCTGTTATCTGTGTCTAACATCTTGAACATTTCTTTTAAGCCAGCTAATTCTTCTTCTGATAAGCTCTCTGCAATGACCTGAAAAACGCAAAGGATGGTAAAATGAATAGATTCGAGTTATAGTATATCTCATTTTCACTCTGCAACCAGACATCCATAATGAAAGACTTTCAATTTAACACATTTAGAGTAATCATCATTGTACTCAAAACAACTTCGAAATTTTTGCATCGACAAACTTACTATAAGAGCCATTTTCTTAAGCTTGTTCATAGCAGAAAATTGCTTCAAGCGACTTAATACGGCGGAATCAAGTGGTTTGTCAGGAGCTACACCATCAACTTGAACCCAAGGATGACCTGCAAGAAATTGAACATATATATTTGAATACCATCGACAAAATACTAACATTTGTCATTTAAAAAAAGACTGAAAATCAATTAGAAAAACCATATTACATAATACTTGATACGCAGTCATCCGTCTTCTAGGGTCACGAACAAGCATTTTCCTTACTAAATCTTTTGCACTTTCAGAAATTGCAGGCCATGGATCTGAAGCGAAGTCAAGATCACCGTGAAAAACCTGTTCGAATATGCCTTGTTCGTTTTCTACACAACCGTTATAAGCACAGGAGGGAGGGAATATCAATAACCAGAAAAATATAGGTATAAAATTTCAAGAAAAATGACAATGTTGAAATAAATGCAAAAGATCTCACCAGCCCAAAATGGAGGTACTCCACTCAAAAGAATGTAAAGGATAACACCAGCACTCCAAACATCTGCTTCAGGACCGTAACGTTTTTTCAAAACTTCTGGGGCAACATAATATGGACTACCAACCACATCGATAAATGTATGACCTGGAAGCAAAATATCATCAGCTTTTCTCCGAACTTTTTCCAATTGTATGAAGTTTCGGTTAAAAAATGCATAGAAACAAGTCTAACCCTTAATTCAATCGAATAGAAATATAACATGAGTATCATCAGAAAGTACCTGGCTTAAAGAACACGGACAATCCAAAGTCAATAGTTTTGAGTAGCGAATCTTCTTGCTGATTGACGAATAGAAAATTCTCAGGTTTAAGGTCTTTATGCATGACACCAAGAGAATGACAAGCTTCAACAACCCCAACAATAGTCCTGATAAGTTCAGCAGCCTTTCTTTCGGTATAATGTCCACGCTGAATAATCCGATCAAAAAGCTCACCACCTGCACACAATTCCATCACAACATGAACAACCACTGCATCCTCATCAGCACCTTTGATGGATATAACATTACGATGTCCAGCCAAATGGTGCATTATCTGAATTTCTCTTCTCACATCCTCAACATCTTCCTCTTGGCAATAGATTTACAAGCATACTGCCTCCCGGATTTCTTTCTCAATACACAAGAATGTCACCCCAAACTGACCTTGTCCGAGTTTTTCCCCTAGACTAAAATAGTCCTTGAAATTACCAGTTTCCCTCTGCAACACTGAATCAACACGAAGTCCAGCACTAGAACTTCTCTTCACAGAAGGTTTCCTTTCTTTCTTCTTTTCCTTTTCAGGTTCCTTTTCGGATTCGCTCTCTTGTTTTGCATCCGGCTTTGGTATAGTTATCTGCTCAGGAGGTTTGTTTTGGACCGGCAACGGAGATTCAGGTTCATTATCAGTTGCTACATCATTTACAGAACCTCTATTCGCCACTGATCCTTCAGGTTCAGGTAAGTGAGTACGCCAAATCGCAGCCGAAAACGATTGAATAATACCATTCTTTGAAATGCTAGGACCAACACAAAGAGTTCCCCATTTTTTGCTTCACACTAATTTCTTTCTAGCACCAATTTCATCACTGGATCTATCTACGCCAACACAAAAACACAAGATCTGAATATAAAACTTCAAAACTTCAAATCTAAGTCAAACCTCTATAAGCTAATGATTGTTAGGTAAAGTTACAAAAATGATCAAAAAACAATGAACACAAGAGCGTAAATTAGAAACAAAGAAGAGCAAAAGAAGCGCGAGAAAGGGAAGGGTAATGAGTTGAAAGAAGTTAGAGTTTACCGAGTCAGTTGAGCTGGAGATATGAATTGAAACAGAAGCAAGAAGAAGAAAGAATCGGCGGAGGAAGGTGATGCTCACCGATAATTGATTGAACGGAAACCGGAAAGGCAAGAGTGGTGTTGCGGTGTGTATCTGTTTCGGAAGATGGCCATAGAATAGAAGATCTCCATCGCGAGATGGTGAAGCATGGTCGGGCGGAGCCTGGGCAGCTGCCCTACCTGGCCGGACGCTGGCTCCGCCACTGTCCAAAATTATACAATTTATACCACCTTGTTGCATGAACTATTTCATTCTCTTCAAGCGGTAATCATTCGTTTTGTACATTTTAGAATATAATCGAATCATTTTTTGTATGTATTATCGTGTACAATATAATCGAATCATTTTGGAAAATATACATACAATTCAATACATATATAATATATCTATTCAACATTTGACCGATTTATATATTTTACCGATTTATAATTTTACCGATTAAATTGTGAATTTATCTTTGATTGGTATTAATTCTCTCAAGATAGAGTTCTTTTTCTGCATAATTCAAATATACATTTATGAAATTTAAAACAAAAAAATAACCAGGGAATGTTTCGGAAGTGTGCTGCCGAAAACACCCTATTTTTGTTATAAAAAAAGGTTGTTTCGGAAGTATATTTCTGAAACATGCCTTGACACAGGATAAGAAATCTTGGGATAAAATTGCTCTAAATTTTTTATAAATAGGGTGCCTAAACCATTTCTTCAACATCATACACCACAAATGAAACATCACACACCACAAATCAGATATGATACAAACATATCCTTATCTTGCTTTTGTTTACTTCAATAGTGCGAAGCCGCCACTTCAATTTAGATTCTGCGAGGACACGCCTATCTCCGAGCTCATTACCATACTCAACTCTCTCTTGCAATATCAAGAACATTGGAGGTAGTCAAGTTCGAGTATTGTTCACCATCACTTGACATTGAAGGAAAGGTCATGTTCACCAAGTTTGAGCTGAAGACAGATGACAATTTAAAGAATATGTGGAGTACTTTTTACCAATACTCTATTAAAGGTCTAATTAAATTGGATGCAAAGACTCAAAGATCCGATGAAGATGTTGTGAAAATGTTGCGACGTGCCCAGTTATCCGTTTATAACAATATATAATGTTAACTTTATGTTTCAATATCTATGTAATTTCGACCTTCAATGTTAAATTTATATTATTGTTTATGTAATATCAATGTTTCAACATCTATGTTATACCTATGTTTCAAGGTCAATGTTTCAATGTTTCTGTTATGGAGAAATCATTCAGTATTTATTTCGGAAATGTACATCCGAAATAAAGCATTGGTATCTTCGGAAATACATCTCCGAATTCACCCAAAAAAATAATATTTCGTAACTTCGGTAATATATCTCCGAAATCACCAAAAAAAACTCTGGTGCGTTCGAAGATACATCTCTGAATTATGGGGGTAAAAACGGAATTTTACTAGAGGTGGCTAAAAAAATATAAGGTGGGGAAAGAAATTCTCAAGTTTTAAACTTACAATGGGCTTTATTGAATAAGGCTCATGGGCTTATATAGTTTTGACATGATACTTAGAATACTAGTTGAGAATTTATTTCTTCACCTGATTATGTTGAATTAAACCCCCTGAAAACCCAAAAATACTCTTCGGATGTGCATATCGAAACACACTAAATATTTTATTTTTATTGGGTTATTTTGAATATACGTATCCGAAATAATCTAATATTTCGACTTTATGAGTTTTCGGATATGCATATCTGAAATAACTCAATATTTTAACTTTACTTTTATTTTATTTCAGAAATTGAAAAATGTTATTTTACTATATAAAAATATTTAGTTAATAAGCCTATTAATAACTCGGGATCCCTTGGGATATTGGTCTTTTAATAAATAAACATAACGTTTCTACTTAAATTACAATTCTCTCTTGTATCGTTATTATATCATTAACATAAACTAAATTTAGAATGAAAGTGACATAAATATTAATGATAAATTATATTTAACATAGTCTTAAAATTTTAATGAAAAAGGAATAAAAGGGCAAAGAAATAAAAATATAACTTAAATAGATGTGGAATATTAAATTTAATGAGATTATTTGTGTTTTAGGGGAGTTGTTTTTCGGTTTAATACATGAATAATTTTTCCATATTAAATATTTTTATGTAATTACATAATATTTTTTCATTTCTAATTTACTAAAAATATATAAAATTTATGTAAATAATTGATAAGGTAATACAATTAATACAATTGATTCTAATGGTCAGAATATTTTAGATATGTATATCCAAAAACTCTTAAAAGATGAAATATTGAGTTATTTCGAATATGCATCTTTGAAAATATCTTAAAATTATAATATTAGGTGCGTTCAAATATGTACATTTGAAGTATGAGGATATTTGAGTTTTTTGTCAGACCTAGAAGAAGGCGTCCATGTGGAAAAAGAAATTTCCATACTAGTTTAGTGCATTAGAATAAAAACTCTCTTTTGCATATCATGCATCATTCTACATTTTTTGTTTCACTTTCAAAGGTCTTTTTTCCAAGTCTTATTTTTTCCCTTGGTCTCATAAGTACAACACTCGCGCTAAGAGAATAATGGAGAATATCAAGCAAGAGCTAATTTGAAAGCTATTATGGAGCACTTAACTGGTTTGGTTGAAATTTTGGTTGTCGCCCAAGTCAATCCTTCCAAGAAAGAAGAAGTGATGGAAAAGGTCTTCACTTGAAACTCTGAAATCATTCTTTCACGAGAAGGTGATGGTTAATGCACCTAATGACTTTTCTGACAAGGTGAATGTGGGAGTGTGTCTAGAAGAAGATGTCTGAAAGGGATGTTTATATGAAGATGATGGCTCAGCTAGTGGTGTGAAGAAGTTTGATAATAACTTTTCTAAGAAGAGAGTCAGAGGAAGAAATAATCATCGCCAGAATCATCATGTTCCTCCTATCATCCTTGCATTCAATTTACCTTATGCAGCTTCAATTCATCAACAGAATCAGCAAGTTCCTAATCAGAGGAAAATTCAGTTCGATCCAATTCCAACAACCTATACGAAGTTATTTCCTGTCCTGAGGCAGAGGAATTTGGTTCAGACCCGACCTCCACCGAAGGTTCCTGAGAAGATGCATTGGTACTACAGAGCTGATTTGACTTGTGCCTTTCATCAAGGTGCTCCTGGGCATGACTTAAAGGGTTGCTTTGCTTTGAAGATTGAGGTTCAGAAGTTGGTCAGAAATGGTATCTTGTCATTTAAGGATATTAGTATTGAGGTTCAAGTCAAATCTTTGCCAAAGAATAAACATGATTGAAGGATACCTCGAAGTTTAAAGAAGAGAGTCTTCTCAGTTTAATTATCATTTTTCTTGCTTGTTCATTTGTAATTTTTCTTGTTTATCATTGCACTATTTGCATGTAGGAACTTGTTTTCATTTGAATGATTATCTTAATACAATGAGTATGTTTGTCTTAAAGAAATTCATTCGTTTCACTTGTATTTGTTTTCAAATTTTAAATTGCTTTTTACATTATGATACCAACTTGTTGCCCATTCTCTTGCCTAGGTAGAGATTGAAGGGAGGATGATGATCTGAAAAACACAAAATCTCTGGTTGTATGCTTTTTTTGAATAAAATATTGTTGACGATGTATAGGAATTGTTTCAAATCCCTAAACACCGAAGATATAAGATAATCCCTTTCTAACCCCTTTTGAGCCTTGAAGTAGGAGTTTCTTTTCTATACGAAAAAACCCTCGAATTTAAACCTGGGGCAGGGTAGTTTTCAGTTAATCTGATTGAGTGTTCAAAATTCATAAGGAATATATTTCTGAAGAGAAACTGCGATGGCTATCATTCATATATCATGAGGCCAGAAGATGTGGAACCACAATGTTATCCCTCATTCATCAAGAAACGAGTAAGTCACAATCCTATCAACAAGTAAAGACAAGCTAATGTCACATGTTTTGTTCAAAAATCAAAAATCAAGAAAAAAGTAAAAGCCTGCTAAGTCGAAAATTTGAAAACAAGTGACTTAGGAAAAATTAGGGCATCCCGCTGGACTATCAATTCAAAAGATTTAGTTCAGGCAAAAGTTAGGGAAAATAAAAATTGCAAAGAAAGGAATACAAAGAAAATTTCTCAGCAAAGAACAAATTGGTGACTACAAACACGAAGACATAAGGGTGGTTGATACTCCGAAAGTCTCATCGTTTCCTTAACCGTTACAAAATCCTTTTGAGAGACGAACACTCATGTTGAATTAACTGAACATAGGGTTGGAGAACATCATGAAGAATGGGTGGGCACCTATAAATTTTGAGCTTTAAAAATCTTTTTTCTAAAAAACCATGAACCAGACCACGTTACAACCTTCAAAAGTCCTAATTTAAGCAAGGTTATTTTGAAAGCATACTTCAATAGATAGTGTTCCTGACTCCCATGAATGTTTTCTAAATAGTTATGTTGGTATCATATGCTTTTGCTATACAAAATTAAATGTTGCTCTAACTCGAGAAATTTGTGCGATATCTTTTCAAAATCTTCAAGACTTACATAACTGTTGCATTAGAATTTTCATTCTCATAATAAACTTTTTCTAACTGCATAACATTTGTTTGATATCAAGGAAGCTCATATATAAGCACCAGCGATGAGTTTATTCTTTTAAGGCTTGAAACTCTGTTGAGTAATTGGCGAATCATTTCAAGAAAATCATATCCAGGGGCATGTCACATGAAGACCTTAAGCACGCACATGTTGCTTCTCCCAGTTAATGCTTTCCCAACTTGTTTACCCTTTTGAGGCAAAATTTGAAGACTTTGTTGTGTCAAGTACAGTCAATCTAGGGCAATCACGTCAAGATTCAAAGAATCTCTCTAAGAGTTTGAAGACACTAGAGCATTGAGGATTCCAGGTCTTTTGTAAAATCCTCTCGATATGATTTCTTGGGACATTTTAGAAGTTAAGTTATTCGCAAGAATTATCGTGCATCACGCAGCTTATCAGCAGTAAACTTGGGGCATACAAAATTAGTTCCAGGGGCAATCCAGATTTGTCAAGATATGTGATATGTTCTGTACACATTATCAAAGGGCGGTGTTCCAAGTATCTCCGGCTAAGCAAGACTCTTTCCAGCTGAAGCATTGTTCATGTTGTTACCCTTTTAATGGATTGTTGACGATAGAAGACTGGACTTTAGGTTTTCTACCGGAAAATACCTTCCTCTCCAGAG